TATCTGAAGTGTGATGCCCAATTTAAGCTGTATGGGAAAAATACTGATTCTGTTCTCTTAACTAACTGTTCTAGATCTATCATTTTAACATTGTATGTAAAGTAATGCATAATAGGTCTACATTCCTTAGTACAATTAGATATATTCATTGTATTTCCTTTACCATATACAAGTTGTTTTTAAAGCTTTGAGTCCCTTGTGAAAGTTAAGTGTGCTATAAAATACATACATGCATGCATGCATTTTGGTAGCAATAAGCATTGATAGACATCATGAACATAATTCAGTTCAATATCGATCCTCTGCAGCCCATATGTAGAATAATCCAGCCATATGGACAAAAATAAGTATTCCTAACTTCAAAAGAATTTTGTGTTTGGCAAATTCTCCTGACAGAGAGCAGCTGAAAAACAAAATTCTGCTATTGGAGTTACCTACTCTTGGTAGCTTTGTTTAATGCAAATGTTTATGGATCAACATTTTTTTTCTTTAAACTGAGTACCTGGATCTTTATAGACTCTTTCCTTTAGCACATGCAAACAACACTAACCTTTTCATTTTCAAAGCCTTTCTTATATAACAGACTGCAAAAACACCCTCAAGAAGACACAATCAAGATGGAATCTCATACTTCCGTACTGCAGCAGTCCAGATAGGAAATCGTTTCTCAGGTATAACTGATCCAAGCCACTGATTGGGCTCATTAACTGTGTTCACTCTATGGAAAGTTCATCCCAAGCATGTAGAATGTGGAGAACTATTGACAGAAAGGCCCTAGAAAAGTGAACACCCTCATACCTAGAGCAGAAAAGTTTGCCCCAGATTTCTAAGGCATTGGGATATTATGGCCTTCAGAGTTTACCACAATACACGCCTTTCATGTTTTTCAAGTTAACAATGAAGATGCACAACTCTTACTAGGCATGAAAAGGCTTAGCAATGAGCTTTACCCTATTTTCCCTATTGTCCTCAAAGGCTTTCATGGCCAGAATCACAGGTTGCTGTGAGTTTTCTGGGCTGTATGGCCATGTTCCAGCATTCTCTCCTGACATTTCGGCCACATCTATAGCAGACGCCCTCAGAGGTTGTGAGATCGTATTTGTCCTTCAATCCCTCACAACTGCAACTAACCATTATATTCCTGCAACAGACCTGATAGAAGGTAGATAGTACAGAACTGTGGGCCTTCATTCTGACTTCTTTAAAAGTCAGTTTTTAAAGATCAAACAAACTGAGGTGGTTGAGTTGTTGTGAGCTTTCCAAGCTGTATGGCCATTTTCCAGAAGCATTTTTTCCTGACATTTCACCCACATCTATTGCAAGCATCTTCAGAGGTTGTGAGGTCTGTTGGAAACTAGGCAAGTGAGGTTTATATATCTGTGGAATGTCCAGGGTGGGAAAAAGAACTCTTGTCTGCTTGAGGCAGGTGTGAATGTTGCAAATGGCCACCTTTATTAGCATTGAATGGCCTTGCAGCTTCAAAGCTTGGCTGATTGCTGCCTGGGGGAATTATTTGGTTTGGAGTTGTTAACTGGCCCTGATTGATTCTTGTCTGGGATTCCTCTGTTTTTTGAGTGTTGCTCTTGATTTTAGAGTTTTTTTAAACTGGTAGCCAGAGGTGGTTAAAATTAGCTCTTTGCGTTACAGAGATTAGTGAGCCACCAATCCAATTCAGCACATTTTTCTTTCAAATAGAAAATCCCTATAACTGTTTGTCTTTGGCAAAGAATTATAACTGCACCTTGCTGCATGTAAGGTCTGAAAGTTTCACTTCCCTGAACTACCTTCCCTGAAAAATTGCTTACCAGTTTTGGGAAATGTTCATAAATGCCCCTCTTTGTCATTCATAAAAGTTAATTACTGGCAGTGGAATGACACACCTATAAATCAATAAATCTCTCAATGTTGTTTCTAGGAAGCTATTACAAAGTAGGTTTGTTGTGAATTTTCTGGGCTGTATGGCCATGTTCCAGAAGCATTCTCTCCTGATGTTTCACCCACATCTATGGCAGGCATCCTCAGAAGTTGTGAGGTCTGTTGGAAACTAGGCAAGTGGGGTTTATATATCTGTGGGATATCCACGGTGGGAGAAAGAACTCTTGCCTGCCTGAAGCAAGCGTGAATGTTGCAATTGGCCACCTTGATTAGCATTGAATGGCCTTACAGCTTCACATCTCAACAAAGGATTCCCACAGGCAGCAACCAGCCAAGCTTTAAGACTGCAAGGGAATTCAATGCTAATCAAGATGGCAAATTGCAATGTTCACACTTGCTTCAAGCAGACAAGACACCCTGGACATATAAACCTCACTTGCTAGATTCAAACAGACCTCACAACTTCTGAGGATGCCTGCCATAGATGTGGGTGAGATGTCAGGAGAAAATGCTTCTGGTACTTGGCCATACAGCCCGGAAAACTCACAAGAACCCAGTGGTTTTGGCCATGAAAGCCTTCGACAACATACTGGAAAGTTTCCTAGATAGGATTAACTGCTAAGGCATCTTTTGCCTCTCAGCCAAATGACACAATACCCTTTGCATTCAAAGCACATTTTAAAAGGCGAAAGATGCACACCAGATTGATGGCCCTTAAACCTGCCCTCTTTCATCCTCTTTCCCAAGGCAGGGATTTGAAAAGGCTTCCTCTTGCTTCTCAAACAGTCCCTTTGGGAAAGATTTCTCCAGCCTTCCCAGCACAGGCTGAAATGCGCACCCCACCATTTATTTCATATACTGTCTCGTCTGCTGCACCTCCTTGAGAAAGAGACTTGCCTCTCACAGTGCAGGCTTTGGTTAGAAGATGCAATCGATGCAAGCACATTACATGCCAGAAAAGAAAAGAAAAAAAGGGGGGGTGAGAAGAGGAAGGGGGAGAGAAAATGGATCGAAGGAGAGTCATCTTTCCTTTCAGCCATTAATTATACATCAGCCAAATATCAAGAAAGCCCTTTCATAGACACTGAAACCTTCCCCCCCTCCCCACGCCCCCGTTGAAATTCATATAAAGGCGTGTGCATATATATATGCCAGGCATGATTCATGGTTTAAAAAGCCCCCAAAATACATAGGGAGGAGGACAGGCCCCTCTCTCTTTCCAAGGAGCATCACACATCGTTCTAGTCGGTTCTATGTGTATTTTTTCCCACCCACAGCAGGCAACCAAGGGGACGGATTGCTTTGCCTTACCTCTCCCTTCATTCCCCGGCCTATATGCATATGTGTGCTTTTAGACAGCTCCTATATGCTGTCTAGAGGCCATATATGCAATTGGAGTGGCTTCTTGCAAGGTGGCAGGGAAGCAGAGTGGCTGCTTGGCGATGCCCTACATAACTGAGCTAGGAAGCATAGAAAGGGGAGGGGAAGGGGAAGGAGAGGAGAGAGAGATGAAGGAGGGAAAACGCAGGCAAAGCAGCAAAAATCAGGATCCAGAGATCGAAAGAGAGATTGAGGGAAAGATCATGAGAGAGAGAAAGATAGAGAGAGAGGCCCCTTCCACACATCTGAATAAAACCCCACATTATCTGCTTTGCACTGGAATGTATAGCAGTGTGGGCTCAGATAACCCAGATCAAAGCAGATAGTGTGGGATTTTCTGGTGAATATTTTGGGCTATATGACTGTGTGGAAGGGCCCAGGGAGAAATCATGAGAGATAGAGAGGGACCCCTTCCACACAGCTAAATAAAATCCCACATTTTATGCTTTGAACCGGAATAGGTGGCAGTGAGGACTCAGATAACCCAGTTCAAAGCAAATATTGGGATTTTCTGGCTTGGTATTCTGGGTTACAGGGCTGTGTGGAAGGGCCCAGAGAGAGATCATGAGAGAAAGAGAGAGGCCCCTTCCACACAGCTAAATAAAATCCCACATTTTATGCTTTGAACTGGAATATGTGAGAGTGGGGATTCAGATAACCCAGTTCAAAGCAGATACTGGGATTTTCTGGCTTGGTATTCTGGGTTAAAGAGCTGTGTGGAAGGGCCCAGAGAGAGATCATGAGAGAGAGAGAGAGAGAGAGAGATCATGAGAGAGAGGCCCCTTCCATATAGTGAAGGGCCCAGAGAGAGATCATGAGAGCGAGAGATGGTGTGTGAGAGAGAGAGATCATGAGAGAGAGGCCCCTTCCATACAGTGAATAAAATCCCACATTATCTGCTTTGAACTGGAATGTATAGCTGTGTGGGCTCAGACAACCCAGTTCAAAGCAGATATAGTGTGTGGGATTTTCTGGCTTGATGTTCTGGGTTATATGGCTGTGTGGAAGGGCCCAGAGAGAGATCAAGAGAGAGAGAGAGAGATTGTGTGAGAGAGAGAATGGCCCCTTCCATACAGTGGAATAAAATCCCACATTATCTGCTTTGAATGGGAATATATGGCAGTGAGGATTCAGATAACCCAGTTCAAAGCAGATACTGGGATTTTATGGCTTAATATTCTGGGTTATAGGGCTGTGTGGAAGGGCCCAGAGAGAGATCATGAGAGAGAGAGAGGTCGTGAGAGAGAGAGAATGAGAGAGAGATCATGAGAGAGAGGCCCCTTCCATACAGTTGAATAAAATCTCACATTATCTGCTTTAAACTGGAATGTATAGCTGTGTGGGCTCTGATAACCCAGTTCAAAGCAGATATAGTGTGTGGGATTTTCTGGCTTGATGTTCTGGGTTTTATGGCTGTGTGGAAGGGCCCAGAGAGAGATCATGAGAGAGATCGTGTGTGAGAGAGAGAGAGATGGAGAGAGAGAGAGATGGAGAGAGAGGAAAAATATCGGGAAAAGGAGTGTCTACTCCCGGTCCTTCGGGACATGCCATCCAAACACAATGGGAAACAAGCAAGACAAAAATATATTTCAAAGGCGCAAGGAGGGGGGCGGTGGCAGGAAGGGGGAGGGGAGCAGAGAGACCTTTGCAATGCCTCCCAGAGGCACAAGGAAAAGGGAGGAAAGGGATTTTTTAAAAAATAGAGCATCCCCATCACGATGATGCAGAGACATGGCAGGACTCACCCAACGCCGCCGCCGCCGCCGCTGTGCGCTGTTTCCCCAGCATATATAGATATACCCACAGACAAAAGGCAAATCCTCCTCCGAAAGCGAGGCGGGGGGGAGGGAGGCAGGCAGGCAAGGCCGGGCGGGAAGCCTTCCTTCAGTGCAAGGTCCTGACCTTGCCCAACTGCAGCATCATCATCTTGCCGCCTCCCTCGTCCAGGGAAGGAAGAAGAGGCTGCTTCATGCGCGGCTCCTCGGCGAGGCTGCCTCTCCGCGGCGTCTGGCTGGCTTCCCTTCCCCTCCCCTCCCCACCCCCCCTTCTTCGCCTCCTCCTCCTCCTCCTCCTCCTCTTCTCCCTGGCGCTCTGTAGTAAGGCCACCTCGGCTTGGCAAACCCTTCCTCCGCTGGAGAAGACGCCGTGACAGCTGCTTTCTCCTCTCTCGCGCTCTCCCTCGCGCTCTCTCTTTCTCCTCCCCAGGCAGGCAGGCAGGAGCGCGCGCGCTGGATGCTGCTGCTGCTGCCGCCTTCGTTGCTCCCGAGGCCAGCGGAGAAGCAAGGCAACGCAAGGCGAAACGAGGCGGCTGCTCTCTTTCTCTCTCTCTCTCTCTCTCCCTCAGCCACCTGCGCCCGGCGCGTGCGCGCGGGAAGGGATTGGGTTTTGGATGACGCTTGGTTGGCTGGTTGCAGCGTCAACTGCGCCCAGCCCTTTCCCTTTTTCTCCGAGACGCCACCGAAGAAGCCCTGCTCGTGGAGGGCGCGCGCCAAGAAACACCTGTTTTTTTCCCCCTTCTGTCCCACGCCTCTTTAGGCTTCACCCCATCCTGGAAGGAAAAAAAAAAGCGCGGGCTTTTCCTCTCCACTAATTCGAAGGCAGAGCCTCGGTTTCCATGTGGCTGCTCAACAATTAAAAAGGGAAGGAAGGGGGAAAAGGCAGGGTAGCGCCTCAGGAAGGATGCCCTTGACTCTGCATCAGCGGCTCATTCCGTCTCTGGGAGTTTGACTGGGTTTTCGTTGAAAGCCTTCTCCTCGCGTCTCCTTCTTTCTGTGAAGAGAAAGCTCCCCCAAGAGCCGCCCTGCTCTTCGCGTACAGCTCAAAGGGGTTCCTTCTTACAGTTGCCTCTCAGCCCCAGAAGCCAAGCTTCGCCTGAAAGACGTGGAGAGAGATGGCAGGCGTGCCCATGTTAACTCTTTGGCTTCCCTCAAGGAGAGAGAGACTTTGAAGGGGACCAAACCCTGGCTCGAGCTACACTGCAACACAATGCATTATATGCCTCCACAACTCACTATTCTTATGGCTAGAACTCAAAAGGGCTCTTTCTTACAGTCGCCTCTCAGCCTCAGATGCCCAGCTTTGCTTGAAAGATGTGGAGAGAGATGGCAGGCGTGCCCATGTTAACTCTTTGGCTTCCCTCAAGGAGAGAGAGACTTTGAAGGGGATCAAATCCTGGTTGGAGCTATACCACAAAATGCATTATATGCCTCCACAACTCACTATTCTTATGCCCAGAACTCAAAGGAGTTCTTCCTTACAGTCGCCTCTCAGCCCCAGAAGCCATGGAGGGCGATGGCAGGCGTACCCATGTTAACTCTTTGGCTTCCCTCAAGGAGAGAGACTTTGAAGGGGACCAAACCCTGGCTGGAGCTACACCACCACGCAATGCACTATATGCCTCCACGACTCACTATTCTCTTTCTTACAGTCGCTTCTCCGCTCCAGAAGCCAAGCTTTGCCTAAAAGATGTGGAGAGATATGGCAGGTGTGCCCATCTTAACTCTTTGGCTTCCCTCAAGGAGAGATAGACTTTGAAGGGCACCAAATCCTGGTTGGAGCTATACCACAAAATGCACTATATGCCTCCACAACTCACTATTCTTACGCCCAGAACTTAAAGGAGTTCCTCCTTACAGTCGCCTCACAGCCCCAGAAGCCGAGCTTCACCTGAAAGATGTGGAGAGATATGGCAGCCCTGCCCATGTTAACTCTTTGGCTTCCCTCAAGGAGAGAGGGACTTTGAAGGGGACCAAACCCTGGCTGGAGATACACCACCATGCAGTGCATTATGCACCTCCACAACTCACTATTCTTATGCCTAGAACTTAAAGGAGTTCCTTCTTACAGTCGCCTCTCAGCCCCAGAAGCCGTGGAGGGTGATGGCAGTCGTGCTGCTCATGTTAACTCTTTGGCTTCCCTCAAGGAGAGAGAGACTTTGAAGGGGACCAAACCCTGGCTGGATCTACACCACCATGCAGTGCATTCTATGCCTCCACAACTCACTATTTTTACGCCTAGAACTCAAAGGGGTTTCTTCTTACAATTGCCTCTCAGCCCCAGAAGCCAAGCTTTGCCTGAAAGACATGGAGAGATATGGCAGGCATGCCCATGTTAACTCTTTGGCTTCCCTCAAGGACCAAACCCTGGCTGGAGCAACCATGCAGTACCTCCTATGCCTCCACACTGACTATTCTTATGCCTAGGACTTAAAAGGGCTCTTTCTTACAGTCGCCTCTCGGCCCCAGAAGCCAAGCTTTGCCTGAAAGATTATGGCAGGCATAGCAGGCATGCTCATGTTAACTGTTTGGCTTTCCTCAAGGAGAGGGAGACTTTGAAGGGGACCACACCCTGGCTGGAGCTACACCACCACACAATGCACCATATGCCTCCACAACTCATTATTCTCTTACTTACAGTCGCCTCTCAGCCCCAGAAGCCAAACTTCATCTGAAAGACATGGAGAGATATGGCAGGCATGTCCATGTTAACTCTTTGGCTTCCCTCAAGAAGAGAGAGACTGAAGGGAACCAAATCCTGGCTGGAGCTACACCGCCATGCAATGCACTATATGCTTCCACAATTCACTATTCTCTTTCTTACAGTCGCCTCTCAGCCCCAGAAGCCAAGCTTTGCCTGAAAGATATGGAGAGATATGGCAGGCATGCCCATGTTAACTCTTTGGCTTCCCTCAAGGATAGAGAGACTTTGAAAGGGACCAAACACTGGCTGGATCTACACCACCATGCAGTGCATTATATGCCTCCACAACTCACTATTCTTATGCCTAGAACACAAAAGGGCTCTTTTTTTACAGTCATCTCCCACCCCCAGAAGCCAACCTTCACCTGAAAGACATGAAGGGTGATGGAAGGCATGCCCATGTTAACTCTTCGGCTTCCCTGAAGGAGAGATAGACTTTGAAGCGGACCAAATCCTGGTTGGAGCTATACCACGAAATGCACTATATGCCTCCACAACTCACTATTCTTACGCCCAGAACTTAAAGGAGTTCCTCCTTACAGTTGCCTCTCAGCCCCAGAAGCCAAGCTTCTCCTGAAAGACATGGAGAGATATAGCAGGCATGCCCATGTTAACTCTTTGGCTTCCCTCAAGGAGAGAGAGACTTTGAAGGGGACCAAACCCTGGCTGGAGCTACACCACCATGCAATCCATTCTATGCCTCCACAACTCACTATTCTTATGCCTAGAGCTCAAAGGGGTTCCTTCTTACAGTCACCTCTCAGCCCCATAAGCCAAGCTTCTCCTGAAAGACATGGAGAGATATGGCAGGCATGCCCATGTTAACTCTTTGGCTTCCCTCAAGGAGAGAGGGACTTTGAAGGGGACCAAACCCTGGCTGGAGCTACACCGCCAAGCAATGCATTATATGCCTCCACAACTCACTATTCTTATGACTAGAACTTAAAATGGCTCTTGCTTACAGTCGCCTCTCATCCCCAGAAGCCAAGCTTTGCCTGAAAGATGACGGCAGGCATGCTCATGTTAACTGTTTGGCTTTCCTCAAGGAGAGGGAGACTTTGAAGGGGACGACACTCTGGCTGGAGCTACACCACCACGCAATGCACTATATGCCTCCACAACTCATTATTCTCTTTCATACAGTCGCCTCTCAGCCCCAGAAGCCAAGCTTCATCTGAAAGACATGGAGGGCGATGGCAGTCGTGCCCATGTTAACTCTTTGGCTACCTTATGGAGAGAGAGACTTTGAAGGGGACCAAACCCTGGCTGGATCTACACTGCTGCACAATGCATTATATGCCTCCACAACTCACTATTCTTACACCCAGAACTCAAAAAGGGCTCTTTCTTACAGTCATCTCTCATCCCCAGAAGCCAAGCTTCACCTGAAAGATGTGGAGAGATATGACAGGCGTGTCCATGTTAACTCTTTGGCTTACCTCAAGGAGAGAGAGACTTTGAAGGGGACCAAATCCTGGCTGGAGCTACCATGCAATGCCTCCTATGCCTCCACACTGACTATTCTATAATGCAGTTCCAAACTGCCTATGACTGTAGTGAAGTTCCAGCCCCTGCGATCACGAGGAATACCAAAAGACTATCCACTTAATCACATGCATTAAATACTACTGAGCCACCCACTTAAGAAAGGGCAACGGACTGTGTCTTACGCTTCAAGTCTAGGGCAGAGATTTCTTCGGGTTAAGAAAGTGTTGCAAAGGGTTATCATCTCTTGGTGTCAACCAAAGGAAGAGGAGGAAATAAGGAGGCATCTGGGGGCTCTCTATTTGTTGCCATTTAGGTAATCCTCCTCTCTCTCTTCTTCCCAATGTTGGAAGAAGGAAGGAAGGAGGGAAAGAAGAAGAGGAGGAGGGAAGGAGGCTTCAGGGGGCTCTTCCTTTGCCATCATTCTAGTGATCCTCCTCTCTCTCTCTCTCCCTTCCCTCCATGTTGGAAGAAGGAAAGAAGGAGAGGAGGAGGGAAAGACATGCCTGGGAGCTCTGCCTTTGCCACCATTCTAGCAATCCTCCTTCCCTCTCACTCTTGCTCCTTCCCCATGCTGGAAGAAGGAAGGAAGGTGCTGTATGTCAGCCTGTTCAGCTTGTGATTGTGTCTATGTTCATGATGGGAATGGGGATGATGTTTCTAATGTTGGTCTGGGTCTGTTGGCATTGGGGATGAGGGTTTGCTTGGGCCCAAGTTAAGCTCAGAGGGGAGGCCCAAGCTATCTCAGGAAGATTCACAAGGTCATATTCCCGAGAGAGGCCTTTCATGGACTTTTCCAGAGGAACTGTCTGAGCATGATTTGTCAGGTGCAGAAATGAATGAATATGTAAATAGAAAACAAGGCTTCTGTAAATAGAGACAGAGCACTCAAACTCAAAGAATCTTCCCTCCTCTGTGAGCAAAAGATAATGATGGAGGTTTTCTCAAAGGAGCATTTTGGTTGCTCCCACAAATTGTGTAACAATATCATTTCAAATCTGAGAATGATGAATACCATCATATGACAGAGTTGGCAATTTTTACCAATCTCTATCTGACTAATTTGCAAAAAAAGTCACTTGCCAACCAGCTTAGAAAGCATCTGAAAAGATAACCCTTTGCAACCCTTTTTAAATGCCAAGGTATCTTTACCCTGCATTTGAAGCCTATGTCATGTGATTAACCCAGTAGGTTGCTATTTCTTAAGTGGGTGGTTCTGTAGTATTTAATAAATGTGATGAAGTGGTAAGTGAAAATGGACTTCAACTGAACATACCCAAAACAGAATATCTGGAAAGTGACTTTCAAACTGAAAAAAAGCCATTCAAATTAATGGATAAGCACTTAATAAGGCCATCTAATTTAAATACCTAGGGTTACTGGTCTCCATAGATGGCAAGACAATGCCAGATGTACAGTCATGAATAAATGCAGCCTGGTCGAAATGCTGGCATTCTGTGTGACTCAAAAATGCCTGAACAACTCAAGGCTAAGATCTACACTACAGTTGTTTGCCCAGTATCCCTCTATGGGGCAAAGTGTTGATCAACAACAAAGAAATGTGAACAAGCCCTTAACACAATGGAAATGGAAGTGCTGGGATGGACACTTGGCTTTACATTTCTTGACCATGGACCAAATGATGATATCTATCAAAGACTAGGAATAAAAGTGATCAGCAGGAAAATGTAGAAAGCAATACTATGGTAGTATGGCCATGTCATGAGAAGAGAACCAGCATCAGTAGCACAAACAACACTACACTGGGAGATTGCAGGATGACCACCATGTGGAAGGTCAAAGAAAACATGGATGGACACCATCAACAAATGCTGCCAACCTGAGGATGCCCAAAACAAAGCCCTGTGGAAATGACAGTAACAATGCTAACCCCTCCATTGGGAAACTAGCTTAGAAGGAAGAATAAGAAGATGATGTTGATGATGATGAGGAGGAAGAGGAGGAAGA